AGAAGAACCTCACGCTCATGTCGGTCGTGAAGAACTTCTCCCTTCCTGAAGGCATGGCAATGGACCAGCATATAACAGCGATAGCAGAGCAACCGTTCAGCTGTTTTCGTGTATTTTTTCCAGCTTCGCTTTGCTCGTATCATTTCAATTAGTGCCTGAGCCCTCTCGCGAGGCTTCATTTTAAGGCCACTGTGGCTCGGGAACTGTTCGCGATGTCATTTCTCTTGAGCAGTGGACAAATCACGGCATGCCCTGACACACGCAAACTGCGGGCATTCTGATGGTGCATTGTTCAGATGACCTTTGACTTTCAGAACTCTTCCCTGAAATCTACACCTTCAGCCCCCAAACTCAAAGCCCCAAGTCTAAAGCCCGAAACTCGGATCCCCCGAGCTGGAACCCCAAAACCCCAAACAGCAAACCCTCCCAAACCACCTTCGCGAGTTGCAGGTGTCGTGCTTGAGCGCGGGTGGGCACTGGCCCAGTCCTCAGATAGGGATGGAAGGCTTTTCGGAGAAGCCCTGAGCCTGAAATGCTTTCAAACATATCCAGCATTTACTGGAACGCGGGGCAAGCAAAAACCAACATCGTTCGTGGATGCTTTATGCTGCCCACTTTAGGCTTATGCGGCCATGCTGATATGGTGCCAGTATGCGATTCTGCCTGCGAGTGCCATCCAAAAACTGCCCGAAAGCCGTCGTGACCTCCCACAGTCCTGCCCTGGTCTTTGCAGGCCCGGGTGAACAATCAAGTTGTCCGCAACCATGACGACCTCTCCAAGGTAATGAGGACAGCAAGTACGCGGGAAAGCTCAGCTTGCACACTCTTGGGATTGAGTTCGACGTTTTTTGAAGACACGCAGGAAGTATGCCCACGTGGAGAGCGTGGTGCTGCGCCCGCCGCTGGACTGCTTTGCTTTTTCAGGTGCAGGGCGGGAGGCTTGCAGCTTGATTGATGTTTTTTCGTTATCACTTCTTACGGCTAGTGCTATTTTGCCATGATTCCCGCCGGTCAGAACTTCTCTTGCATGATGGAATTCAGAGACAGCCTGGTCCTGAGGATTGTCAATGCCAAAAAGAACGGCAATCTGACAAGGGCGTCTGAAGTGCCTCGCATGCAGAGAGGGGCGGAAATGGCAAAGGGTGAAACCACTGAAAGCATCCATGTAACACTCACACGTACCACCAGCACTCACTGGAACTGCCAACTAGCACTGCATCGTTGTTGCTGCTACTGAGATTGAGAGCGGAGCTGCTTTTGTTCAACTGCAGGAAGAGTGCCGCAACGATCTTCAATTCCTGCCCCTTGTTGCTGAAAGATTTGGGAATTTTGGGATGAGGAAGATGTCAAAGTAGCCAGATAAGTTTAGTTGATATCTGGCCAGTTGCCTCGATGCGGCTGCTTGCAGCTAATGAAAAATTCTCCGTCTTGGGTGCATGCTCCCGCCCATATCGTACCTGCAACTTTTGCACACTCCTGTTGAGGACATGTGCAAGTGCAGCTGAAGTTGGTTGGCCCCAGTACTATCACCAGGCTTGGCTGTTAGGATGTCTTTTGTTGTGGGGCAACTGCATGGTTAGGATGTCTTGATATTAGTATGAATATGCGTATTCATCTTATTATTGACTGCATGGACCTTAAGGCGAACAAGGCTTCCTTCCAGTGCGACCTTGGAGGATGAGATCTGCCAGGTGCGGGCTGATAAGAACGAGGGATGTAGTCTCCTTGTGGAAAAGAGGGGAGGAAGGGGTCTTTTCATGTCCGTCTATACTTCAGCAGGAGTTGGCGGCTCACTCTTTTGCACTCCTTCAAATAATGTCTAGAATTGATGTGTTCCTCCTTCGGAACTTTGGAGATCGGTTGTGCAATGCCGTTTTGGGTAAGAGATCAACCCCCAAGACCCACAAGCATGCTATTCTGAAGCACAAGAAACTCATGAGATGATGGATGTTATGAAGTTCTCTGTTTCAAAGGCTAAGTCTACAGCCGCTCTCTAGGGTTGACAGTAGAGTTCTTTTTGAGGTCTGGTATCCCAATATGTTTTTGTACTCTTGGAGTGTGCCACATCGGTTCACCACAGTTAAGTTGTTTGGGAGGCGTGGCTACCCCCAAAACCACCAAGCGTCACCTTTCAAGACCTGTGGCTTCGACACATTGTCACTATCATGTTGCATGTTTGTACACATGATGTAGCACTTGCCAACATTGACATTTCAAAGGCCATGCCCATGTGTGCTATTGTTTCCTGCTCTGATTATTGCTCTCATGACACTTCAGCTTCAAGATTAAGCTTGCATTGCTTGCTCTTGCTGCTTTGTCTCCGTATGTGTCAGTGTTATTGTGTTTGGGGTCCATATCGGGATCCAACAGTCCTTCCCATCTATCTATGCAAACTACCACTCTTGATTTCATTGTTGGTAAAATGCTGCTTGCAGTGATGAGTCTGACGTTTGCGAATTTTCGGCTTGCTTTTGCCACCCTGACTCCTGCTGCTCCCCTTCAGGCTGTGTCATTCACATCATGACAGCTACAACTAGTAAACCTACTTATCATTCTACTTATGTTGCTTTTACCGTACTCGTTTGTTCCCTCCTGCTCTAGAGGTTCAAAGTCTTTGCAACGAGATGGTCCGGGCACAGAAGCACCCTCGGTGGCACATAGTCCATCTTGAATGCTTCCAAGATGTTGATCGGATTCACTCGACAGCACAGGCTTCTGCAAGCTTACCAAGGAAGATCCAGGATTTTGGGCATGGACCCATTTCAAAGCAATCAGTTGTTTGGAGAGCAGCAGCCTGACCGTAATCATTTGCAGCATCAATTCCTCCCCTGTCAATTTCGTAGCGAAATCAACGTTATTTCAGGCATTGCTTGTTGGCGTTCCACAGGCAAGCAGCCGCGGATACAATTGCACGACCTGACATTGTGGAGGCCTGCTCGTGGTGTCATGATGCGAATCATGACAGCAAACCCGCTCAAAACTAGTTTCTACCCCGCTAAGATGAATCCTCTCAATGTGGTTTTGTCTTCGGAGAATAGCCTTTGGGTTTGTTGAAGTCCTTTGTACGTTTGAATTGATTTTCCAGTTGCATGTTGCATTGCATGTTCAGTCCAGTCTCATGTGAGGACCAGAAGACCACAGACAAATATCAGAGTCCCTTGCAGGGATCATGAAGGTGGACCGCGCCCCAATTTTTACACTCCCCCACACAAACATGCAGCTTCAAAATGCCTTATGAGGCTTAGATACTTCGTTTCGAGCGAATTAGTATTCTTCGTTTCAAGTTCGGCTGCTCCTTGTATCATTCGGAGTGTATTGAGCATGGCAATTATGAAGTAGTGCTACCATGATCGCTGAAATTGCTACTTCTATTGCTGCATATCTTGTGATCTTGCGACGGCCCTGATGGAAGATGGTTGATTGCCGATTCAGAGGGCTTAATCTGGCCGGCGTGTTCTCCGCCATGTGCAATTACCTAAAAATCTCAACCTTGGACCCAGAGTTTGCCTCAAAAGGGCAGTCCGAAGTCCATGAGTGCTGGAGATTTGAGCCTCTAGCAAAGGGTATGAATCCAGCTCCCCACGCATCTCATCGGCAAATGCTGGCAATTGATTCCAGGTTCCTCTCAAGATCCATGATTCGTTGAAGGCTGGGGCCATGAAGGGATAGATAGATATATATGTCGTATATATATATATGTATGTACGGCATAGTATAATACCATATAATATATATAATGTAAGATATATATTTTTATTCACATGTATTTTTTGAGTAAATTTTGAGAGAGGGACAGAAGTGCTGGGAATGTTTCGGGCTTGTGCAGTGACGATGCTAATCGAATCATCAAGGATTGTGGAGGACCATTCCAGTTGCCTTCTTCCCGTTGATCCGGTGATCGTGTGAAAAACGATGAAGTTACATACATCCCCAAAGACTACACAAGCCGCAGGGAGATTTCTTGTAGCACTTAAACTCAAGAGTTTGGAGGCAATCTGATTGAAAAGCCATAGCTGAGGAACATGCGGTCTTTATCTAAACCGTTGTCAGGAGCTCTTGCAGAGGATCCTTGTGGGAACGGAGCGCAAAGATCGCATCTGTACCTGGGCCAAGAGTGCGGGCTGCCATTGTCGTACACCTTCAGCTTGTTGAATAGCACCCCGAATCTAGCTAGACAACAATGTCCATCAATTCAGAAACTGTTCAGATGTAGTTTCCCAAAGAAGGCCCTGCCTTAACCAACAAAAAAGCTCAATGTTCAAGAAGACGTTCGATTGAGATTGCATTTCCCGAGTAAGACAACTCAAGTGTCAAATTGAGGGTACGCAGCTCTAGCATGTTAAGAGGTTTGCAGGCAGCTAAGAAGCTAGATAACGAAAATGTAGCAGTCTCAGGTAGATGGGAGCCCCAGTTCAGGCAAATCGAAAAACGGTCTTTCTAAGCAATGCCAATTGGAAGAAGTCAAAAACCATGGTGACGCATTTCGTGCTTGCATAGATGGCCAAAGTTATTATTACAATGAATATTAGTATTTACAGTAGTTATATTACTATTATAACAATATTACATATTAATATAATAGCTAGTTACTAAAAAGCCAGCTTGCGAGGACAAACCAACAACTCGTTTTGGCAAATTTCAACCAGTACAAAACCATGTGAGCTACTGTCAACATTAGCTTCGTCAATGGACCCTTGACAGTGTAGGAGTCCCTGTTGTAGTTCCGTGAAATTATGTGGGAAATTGATATGTTGACTGTAGCTCATGCGAAGAAAGCTTGCAAAAAATGACACAAGCCTTGAGCTCAAAACCGGTACCAAGCAGAGCAACAATGATCGTCATCAAAAGCCATGAAATGCCGCTAATCGAAAAGCTCTAGCATCCAATCACAAGTAGCTAGCATGCATTCAACGCTGGCTATCAATAACTTGTCCGCTAACCCCAACTTCACCTTGAAGTAGAACCCTAGTAAAACCCTTGGAATGGTCCGCAGTTCTAAGGCTATTCCCACGAGTTTGTCGGCGATAAGGCTCCGCCGGAGACGAAGTGGGAGAAATTTGAGCAGTACCAGGCCCGCTGACTGCAAGTGGCTTCAAGGTTCAGTGTTTAAGGTGCGTTGTTTGGCGGAGCCTTTCTAGATGCTTGGCAGCCTGTTTTTGTGCAGAGCCCCTTGTGATAGATCATTGCCGGCATTTTTCTCACGGAGTAATCGCCACGACCCCTCTCCAAGATTCCCGTGACTGCTTTCACCGCCCTGATTGCGAATTCACATTCTTGCGGGTTTCCCGAAACAACCACTACATAGCTGGACCCTTATTGTCCGCACGCAGCATCGACAAATCCCGACTAGATGCAACAGCGGGAAGTTCTTGCCTCTAGATTATTGATATCTACACACTGCTTATGTACATTGTCTTTCCCACCAGAATTGCGATATCATCTAGATAGTGACGGTTTTGTATGGCTACTTTCGTGTTCATCATGATCTTTTATGCCAGTATATCTGACTCTAGACATTTCCACATTCTTGCCGCTGCATGATCTTGTGGCTCGGCTCTTTGTTGTTCCCATGGTTGTGCTAGCACTGGCTGACCCCGCTCTTGCAGTCTCTCGATCCCTGCAGCCTGAAGCGAAAAAACGGCCTTGAACCTTAAACAAACCCTACCTACAATTTCAAACCCTGAACCGAGCCAAAACATCGAAACTCACTTTGAGCATCTTGGCCCTTAAGCCCCAAAAAGGCCTGGATGCGCATCCGGATGGCCGAGCTGAAGAGGGAAGGGCAGAAAAGCCACAGCCAGTGCCTGGATACTCGGTTTGCAAAAAGGCGGCAAGGCTTGCAAGGCTTGCAAGGCTTGTGCTGTAGAGTCTACCGGGTCGTGGCTGTTTGGAATTTTGGCTTTTAGGATTTGAGCTTGGTGGTCGTTTTGTGTACTGAGATTTGCGGGAGGTTCCGAAGGCAGTGGCTTATTCAAGGACTTCAGGCCTCTGCAATAGATGGTATGAGATTGTTGCTTGGATGCCTTGCCCTTGACTGATGTGGTTCAGCTTCTTGCAGCTGCTACAAAGGAAGGAATCCAGGGTTCCTGAACTCAAAAAATGGTAACATCCAGATTGCGAATGCATACATCCCTGCATACACCCAACATAGAATCCCTCATATCCCTAAATAACCCCAGAGGACTGTAAAACCCTTATCTACTATTTGGTCTACAGCTATGAGCGGTGGTTGGGGAATGAGGGTTTCCATGGGATCCTTGTTTCAGAAACAGCTGAACGGCCGCCTGGAACAAGTGGACTGCTCGCCCAAGGAGCTCGCAAAGTGTGAGTGGGATCAAGGAGGCCACAAGATGCGGCATTTACCTTGGACTCTGCGTAGGCGTAGCTAGCGTAGCCAGGTTCAGGTGGATGTGGCCATGGGGATTAGGAGCCCAACCTGAGCAGCCTCTGCAGGGTGCCTGGCCTGTTGATGGCAGTTGTGTGTGTTCCTTACGCTGGCAGGTAGGGTCGTGAAAGTTCCCAGCGATGCTGTCGCAGCTTGCCGTGTGCCGGGCCTGAACAAGGTGCAAGGGAATATACACACACGGCTTGCGGCATAAGCTGACTGGCTCCCACCATGTTCTAGGTTAGCATGCTCCTCAGCTGCAGGAGTCATTCGACGAGCATGTTCTGCAGTGCCTGGGCATGACCGTGGACGTCGACCTCAGCCTTCTCACCGTCAAGGAGTTGTGGGAAAGGGTTTGGGAGGACGGCCTCAGCCTAGCTTCGCAGTGGCTCAGTGATGCGGTCTGCGTACTTGCTTGCTGATGCACATGGATCCGCTTCAGCCACAGGTAGCTCACTTATTCTGGACGGGTGCTAGAACAAAGCTGCTTTGCTCGCGAACATAAAAAAGATGCAAAGCTGAAGGCATGGACATCCTTAGTGAGTGGAAATCCTCACCGCTCGTCTCAAATCTCAGTTTCTCCTTTGGTTTCTTAGAAGCAGTATCTAGAGAGAACATGTTGGCAGGACGGGGGGCCCCTGGCCTTCTGTAACGTTCCCTTGGATCCCACCAACGGCTTCTGGAAAATTGTAGCAGTGGGCCGAGGCCAGCAGTGGCGTGCATGGTTCAGGCTTCAGGCAGCATCTAGAGCATGAACAGTCTCCTTTCATCATCCATGTGTAACAGCACCGCAACAATCCCAAAACCCTATGCCGGGGTCCTTCAAGCAAGTATAATCAGGGCTTTGGAGGCTTCATGTTCACGATCAATTGGGAGCTTTGCAGCGAAGTGCACGGCTCCACAGACTGGCACAAGAAACTTGCTGAGGAAGATATGAGGTAAAGCATGGTAGTGCTATGGCATCCCGATGTCTCGACTACCAGAAGAGCCCAAGTGTTGGTAGAAAGCTGGCATGAGCGCATTCATATCATAGAAATCTGCCTTACAGCTAAGGCGCAAACTGCGCATGGACATACAGTCCTTCTCTGTCAGACTTTGCCAGCCGTTATAGATGTTTTCATATCTAGCGCGCCCTCGCATGCCCCAAACCCTTATGTGACATTTCATCCGTGCCATTTGGAAAGCTTCACCTTTAAGACCTAAAATTTTCCCACTGAGGAAGCCCTGAAGTTTTGCAACCTTTTGCTGCTCCAGGTGAGACAAAGCACCGAACACCGGATCTTCCGGCCTTCCTGGAAACTTGGCAGTGTTTGAAGCAATCCTACAAGTGCTGAGTTGAGGTTGATTCTTGCGCTTTGGATTTCCTTTCACGATTGATGGCGACTGCTGTTGGTCCCGCAGATGATGGGGCAGCAACCCTGAATTTCTGAACCGACGGACCTCTAACCTAAGTCGAGTACGCCCCAGCCACGAGTGCGTGCTTCTTGGTGGAGGGGTTGGGTTCGAGATGCAGCGCTGCCGCTACGCTGCAGCAGCACAACAAACAAGATGGCCGGCTGAGAAGTAGAGGGGAGGGGAGAGCGGCAACACAATGGAGATGGAGGAGGGAGTAGTGGCAGGGCAGTCGAAGCAAGAGACGATCATGTCTGGTGAAAAGGGGAGCAATTTCTGAGCACCGTCTATCATATATAGAAAAACTTGCATGCAAAACCAGCACCTGGCTGGAGGACAATCTGCCAATCACAGCACAACTTGACAGCAATTTCATAAAAAAAAAGGCCAACATGATTCATGAAGAGCCTCCAGTACGCTTATTCTCCTTGTGATTGTTTGTGCTGTGATTGTGACTTGTTGCTGCAGCACCGGCTGACTGAAGAGTCCTGGACCTGCTGTGCGGCGGCTGGCACGCGAAATTTCTTCTTGATCCCTACAGTGGCAATGTGGAACCTATAGAGTCCTGCGAAAGGGCTGTAGCCCCTGGCCCCCTCAGTGTCCACTCTCCAAGCATTTGCACCCTGCTCGTTCTGATTCCCTGGCTCAAGGAGTCTTTCGCTTTGCTTCTTGGTGACTCTTTCCAGTCCTGCGCAGGCAAGGGGAGTGGAACGTTCTTCGACTTATTTGCCGATCGAACTGCTGCTTTCTTCTCTTCCTAAAGATATTTGTTCATCTGTGTCGAAGCTGTATTCTGATTAAAGCCCAGCAGAAAGACTGCAAAAAGGGCCTCTACTTCTAATACCTGGCCAGCCCTGAAAAGGAGGAGATTCATTTGAATAACCAAACCATCAAAACAATGACTAAGTAGTTTCGGGGATGCATTGCCTTCCCCGCCTTATCCTTCCTCAGCAACTCCTGCTTTGGGATGCTGCTCACCTCCTGAATGCTCCCGCCGTTCTCATGCAGCTCTAGCCTGGCCTGGCACGTGTGCTGTGGGCAGGCCAGTTGAACGAAGGTATTGGTTCACGATGCGTCACTGTACTCTCGCCTGCCGCAGCTTGACATGGAAGTTGAACGCAGCCTGTCATGAACAAATGCTTCTTACAAGCTCCTGCTTGAGTGTCAAGCCATCTCCAGCTCTTTGTAGGTGCCGAAACGCTGGACATCTGGATCTACCTTACAAGGCCTGCTCGCTGCATGCGATGCTGCTGCAGTAGGCATTGTGGTTTAGACGACAGTAGCAGCCTGTGTCCGTTCGGGCCGGTGAGCGTTTTCATCCACTACCGACTGGCAAGGGCCATTGCCTCAAGCTTGAAACCTTGCGAACACTTGCGGTACACTCCACAGTCTCGTTTGCTTGAGATACCCGTGTATTCAGAGGACAGTAGCTTTGCAGGGATTAGCGGCTACTGGCTAGCACTAGTGAAGGATGTTGCCGACCTGCCGCTCAATTTTGGGGAGCGTGGTCTTGCCGGCTCCCACTTAGTCATCCAACCTGTCGCGCTCACAACCCTGCAGGGACTTGTTTCTGGTCTGTTTTAGCTGGTGTCAGTAGCATGGTGGCTGAGTGAATGTGGAGGTTTTGAATACAGACATCATTTGTTCAGAAAGATAGATCATCAGCAAGTAACCGTCAGTAAGAAAACCCGACTTGCAAACTTCGTTGAGGCGCCGCAGTGCCGGGGGTCGCCGGAGTTCTGTGGCACCTTCACCCTCGCTGGCTGCGCTGGCTGCGCTGCCGGCACCGCCTCTTTGCCAGGATAAGGCAGCAGGGCTTGGCTTTGGCTTGGAGGAATGCCGCGAGCACGTGCGTGCCCACACAGGAGCATCAGCGCAATTGGGGCCCATGTTGGCTTAATTGGAATCAGGAGGGGTCAATATCTGAAGGACGGCAGTATGCTGCGTGCTTTATGTGTTTTGGCAGTGTAGGGCTGAATGCTTGCAACATGGGGTTCCCAAGCACGAGCCGAAGGTAAAGCCAAGCAGCAGAAGCAAGCTGGTCAAGAACAGCACTGACGGGGAACTTGAGGAAATCAGAACAGGCCAAGGTTTTTCACCGTGGCTCTGAGCCGCTGTTAACGTTGTCGTTGATGAATGTTGTAGTTTCGCTCCAAAGTTCAATGCCCGTGGGCCACGTTAGAGGCACGCACAGAAAACTCCCATGGATGTGAGCGCAGGGGCCATACTTATCTGAGGCCCTGACACCCTCTTCAGTCAGAGCGCGGCCAAAGCAGGACAGGCCAGAAGGGATGCATTCGTTTTAGGACGTTTGGGGGGTCCTCATCCTACCTACTTAAAGTGTATTCTTGTTCAGGTTGCGTAAAGCAATCGAAGTGCCTAACAACTGAACAACCCCTACCACCACATTGCAAAAAGCACATGCTTTGCACAGATGGGTGGCGGCACCCGGCACCCCCTAGCCCCTGGCACCGTGAACCGTTCATTTTTCTTGAAGCCAGTGGAACGTGTAAGGAAACCTCCCTAAGCTGTGCCAGAGGCTACATGTTGCGTGGAGTGTCATTGCATACTGGCTCCAAAAACAGAACTCTCGAACTCTCGCATGGAGCCTCTTGAAGTTTTGGCTTGAAATCAAGCTCTCATGTGGAGTGTTTTTACATGTTGGGATGCTATACAAATTACTTCCCAGAACTTTTTGTAGTGCAAACCTGCTTGGTTGCCAAGAGACATGGTACGCTGTGCAACAAAATCGTCATTGCCGTCAATGGGCTGTGTGAATCATCATGCTGTAGGCAGGAAAGTGCTGAACGGAGTCGGTCCAACCCACATCCGATTGGTGCGATCCTTGTGAGCTGCCATCTGGGGCCCTCCAAATCTCAGGCCGTTTACCAGCAGTAGCAGCAAATATCACCCACCTATTGCAGGACGGCTGCCGGGCTGCGGGCTGGGTGCGTCCCACAAGGCCAAGGCAGGAGATCTTCGGACAGGGGGGGCAGGTGGCAAGGTAGGAATGGGGGGAGAGGGGGGGGTGTCGTGGGGGGAACATGATGTGTTTAGTCGGAATGCTGGGAAGGAAGTTAGTATAAAGGGAATGTCCTTTCTGGGAGACCGTACTATACACTGAGAAGAAGATGATGTTTCAAAATCAAGTCCAACTTATTCATATTAAGAACAGCCTTCGTTTGCACTTGTCCACATGTTGATGACCTCGTCTTTGCCCCCACGGTCATACCTTCTGCTGAAAAAGCTCGAGGAGGTTGCCTGAGCCTGCAATTTCTGAAGCTTTGTCTTGCAAGGGAATATTACGAAAGCTTCCTCAAGCTTGAGTCCAGGTCCAGCTTTGCTGATCAGTACTAAGTGGGTGTGGGGGAGGGGAAACCCCCAAATGTGGTCAAATTTGGCCGTGTTTCGCGGGCCAGACCCAGCGGCAGGAGGGTTTTGGGGAGGTGTCCTTTCGGGCCTCGAAAACAGGGGTCACGAG